CTCTCTCTCTCTCTCTCTCTCTCTCTCTCTCTCTCTCTCTCTCTCTCTCTCTCTGTGCGAGGTCCAGTGGCACTACTAGTGAATGTGGCGTATTCAAAGCTAGTTGCTCAGGGTGTTTGGCATCTCATTGGTTCAGACGAGACGTGGGTGGTTTTCGTTGATGCGAAAAGAGGGTTTGTGGTTGAAGGTTTTCACATCTCAAGCTTAACATACAATTGAATGAGTGCAGTCGAAGGTTTTCACACTGGCGTCGGAAAAGGTGGTCTGTGTCAGCATCAAGCTTTTGGAGGAGATAGCCTCTCTAGTCAAGTGTCTTTGGTCTCAGGAGGTTTGTTGTTTTCAAAGCTTGAAGGTCTCAGAAGGTTTGGAGTTTTCAAAGCTTGAAGGTATCAGACGGTTTAGATTTGGATTTCTCGAAGCTTTAAGCCTTCAAGGAAAAATGGTGATGATGGTGATGGTGGTGCTTTGGATGAGGTCTGGATCAAGTTTCGGACATTCATGTCAGTCATTCATGTGATTTGCTTCATGGGGGGAGGAGGCTTGCTGTCACATTGTTGTGCTTATTGAAAAGCTCTGTGACAGTGTTGTTCCGCTTTTGAGGAACAATTGGCCACTTTCACAAAAAGCAAGCATTTGCTTTTTTGTTGGTTTATTTGTTGGTTTATTGTTTGTTTGCGTCTGTTTCTGCGGTTCTYYWTWWYTATCTGAAATGTATGGTTKTTKTTTTTTTTTTTTTTTTTTTTTTTTTCCGAAYYTGTCTTTTGYTKTCTTGAAGCGATGACATCATTCAKTATCTCYTTCAATTTGGTGTMTTAAACTGGATTTGTGTTTTTTTTTTTTTTTTKTACTTCCGAASKTGTCCTTTGCTGTCTTGAAGCGATTACATCATTCAGTATCTCTTTCAATTTGGTGTATTAAACTGGATTTTTTTTTTTTTTTTTTTGGTTTTAAGTTATTCTTTTAAGGGCGATGCCGTTCAGATATCATCATGGCGTTGATCAGCCCCAGGTAATTCAGAAATATTTCATAATTGATTTTCATTGTATACATCTAGGTCCATCAGGATTTGAACTTGGGTCTGTACTTCAGCAGTTCATTGGTTGACGAACAGAGCTAAGGCTCATTCAGCCTCATTGGTGATTTTTGGTGTATTTGTTATCGTCACTGAATATCGCCACTCATTTGCTTTACACTGCTTGCACCGATTTGGACGAAAGATTCACGGGCGCGAGGTCGCACTGGCCTCGAGTCTTTGTTTCAGACCATGGATGACGAAATCAATGGCTAGATACGAAGAATCGAGGTAAGCAGGATCTTGCACTGGATGTTTTTTCTGCCAGCCTTCTGAGTGATGCACCACTGATATTGGCCCTCGCCACACCACTTACAGAGTCACTGTGCATCTTTCCTCACAATGTGGCCCGATACGTTGGTAACTGTTCATAGTAACCGATGTATCTTGCCATTTTTGGTGGAAAGATGCACTCTATTTCTTCGTTTCGTGAGTGGCCCTCGGCAGACTGCACTTTACGAAAGAAGAAAAAAAAGAGTTGCAGTGCATCTCTCCACGCAATGTGGCCCGATTCGTTGGTTACTATTCATAGCAACCGATGTATCTTGCCATCTTCCGTGGACAGATGCGCTCTATTTTTCTCGTTTTTGTGAGTGGAGTGTCGAGGCCCATTGACTGCGGTGTACTCTTGCAGAGAGTTTCTGTCTTGTTGTGCCAGGCACTGAAGCAGAGGGGAGAACGGAACGGAGTGCAGTTGAAACGGAGAGTGTTTTGACGCCTCTCTAATTCCTCGTCGGAATTATTGGGTTTCCGTGGACAGATGCACTCTATTTTTCTCGTTTTTGTGAGTGGAGTGTCGAGGCCCATTGACTGCTGTGTACTCTTGCAGAGAGTTTCTGTCTTGTTGTGCCAGGCACTGATGCAGAGGGGGGAACGGAACGGAGTGCAGTTGAAGCGGAGAGTGTTTTGACGCGTCTCTCATTCCTCGTCGGAATTATTGGGTTTCCTTCCGCGTGCAATCTTCGATCAATCGTCTGTAAAAGAGGTGGTGGTCCTTGTGGCCATCTTTTCCTTCCTTGGAGGTATTTGTCTCTTCCATCCTTTTCCCGTGCGTCTTGTTGTGGGCTATGGCAGGAAGGAGGGAGTTGCGTTGTTGTTGTAACCTTTTGATGCTGGAGTTCCCGTGAGTTTGCCGATGCTGCACTTAAAACCGGAGTTCGAACCGTGATGATCAAATCTTCAGCATGGTTCGGAGGAACTCTGAATCTAGACCGGTCTGCACGTGACCTTGGGCTAAGGTCAGATTCATCAGATCCTGTCCAGATGTTTGGATCTCATCTAGACCGGTTTGCATGTGACCTGGGTCAAGGGTCAAAAAATGAGGCGCCGCCTGCCTCCAGAGTGAGAAGCAGGCCCTGGGAAAGTCAACGGTGAAGCCCTACCCAGGCACAGAAATGAAAGAGCCTAAAGATTTCTCAGGACTCGACCATGGGCTCAGATCTCTCACGAATCCAAAGGCTCAATGCAATTTCCAGAAGTTCCCAAGGCCCACTGGGCCCAGGCCCACACTGGCCGCGAGCGAACCTGGGCGGGTGACGCATATCGGGAAACCTCAGCCCTTGGAGGCGGCAAACTAGAAGCAGGCCGGCCCAAGCAAACACTGAAATAGAAGAGTAGTCTGTCCCAGCCCATGGACTGATTCTGCCACGCACAAGCTGCAGTGCATGTGCTACCGTGATGCGCTACAGCGATTGCGAGAGAAGGCAGACAGAGAGCACGACAGGCTGCAATGGTGACAGCGCGAGAGAGTGGTAGCCATAGCCTGTAGAAGGTGCAGATGCACTACATCTGCAAGAGTGAAGAGGGGAGATCTTAGGTAGAGTCTCCAGGGCTTGGGGGGATAAAGGAAAAGCTTAGCTGGAGCGAGTCTCCAGGGCTTGGGGGGACAAAGGAGGAAACTTATTTCCCTCTCTGTAGACAGTTTATCGGGCAGTTCTGTTTGATGATATAATATATCGGTGAAACTCCGACGAAACAGTTTGTCACAGCTCCTCGTTTGTTGTCCTCTTCTCTCTCTCTGCCTACGGTTTACCGGGCAGTTCTGTTTGTGACGATATATATATATCGTATATATATGTATATATCGTGTAGATTGGCGTGCACACTTGGAGTGGAATACTAACTTGTAWTCTGCAGGAAGGTGGCGCAAGAAACAACTCCGTCATCTTAACAATGTTGTGCAGTCCGAGCGGTTTGAGTTACAATTGCGGGGTGTTGATCAACAACCTCTTGAGCCAGGTATGGACCCCCTCACTGTTCGAGGAGTGATTTATGCAATTGTTCATTTACCTTCTGGTCGTTTTTATGTTGGACAGRCGATGCATTCTGCACACCAAAGGCTGCAAGAGCATTGSCATACACGACACTCTTCTGCTACTTTTCACCATCGCCATTTCTACCGCACAATGAGTGGGCAACCAGCATTCAACTTCGCGGCTTGGCCCCTGGAATGCATCGATCCTACCCTGTATCATACGCCTGGAGGTCTTGTTGATCATGGCCTCTTTCGGAGGGCTGCTGCACCCCGCGAGGGTTTCTGGGTTCGAAAACTTCGAACGCTTCACCCAGTCGGTTTCAATGCAGTCCTTCCAATGGCTAGATTGCCATCTCCACGACGACATTTACGTCCTTCCCGATGGACACAAATGGGCCCTCAGTCCTTCGTTCCGCAATCCCCTTTTGCTCAGCCCTCACCTGCTCCACCTATTCCTGCATCAGCCAATCCTCCTCACACATCACCCCTTTTGCCGACACCCGCTGGCTCCCATGTTGCACCTCTTTTGCCAACACCCTCTCGGCCTTTGCCTCTCCTCCCAACGCCTTCGCCTCCGTCATTTGCTATTGATCTTCGTCCAGGTCCCCAACTC